TAGTAGCAATTTCAAAAGTTTGAGGCGAATGCATGATCAAGGATCTATTTTCTTCTTTGTCCATATGTTTGGCCTTTTTTGTTTTGACAGTAGTATATCTCCCCTAGTGTTTTCTCCGAAATTCTGTTGTTTTTTAACCCTGCATATATTATGTTACACAAATACGAGCGCTACTTTCAATATCTAATACCAAAAACAAAAAATGCCAGAATAGTGATGACTAATTATTATGTACCGTATAATTCTGAAAAACATATCTAAACATACTAGATCGAAGAACAAAATATATATTGGTATAACATATCTAATCAAAATCCATATATAGGTTCGTTTACAGTTCAATCTTTTGTTTTTGATATACAAACAAACGATCTATTTTAGAAAAATGTTTACAAAATTGTTTAACAATGAAAATCAGAGTAGCGTATACCGGTCATACCTCAAAGGCTGAAAGTGCTTTGATCCGTTTGATGATAATCAAACCATATCATCTGAGATTCTTTATCAGCTATAATTAACCTTGTTGGAGAGAAAGTTCAAGAGATCTAGAGAGAGAGAGAGAGAGAGAGAGAGAGAGAGAGAGAGAGAGAGAGGGGTGACAGAGAGAGAGTAAGCACACATAGCTTCAAGCATGAAACCCTAACTTAAAAAAGCATGCAAGAAAGCCACTATGTGTGCTCACTCTCTTCTGTCACCTCCTCTTACCTTTGATACTCTGCGCATGTGACCATGCTCCAAAACCTTAGCTAGTACAGCAACCGAGTTCAAGTTATATATCTACTATGTAGCTACTTTTATATGCATATATAGAGATATGTATATTAAGTTATATCACTGAGAACAAGACTCTAGATCTTACTTCTTTCTATCTTTGGATGTGGGAAGAAACTGAGACCTGTCGGGGCTTTTTATAGCCAAGATGAGAGAGAAAATGGGGTTTATAGGGGAAAAAAAAGAGAGATAAACTCAAATCTCTGTCATGAATTATTGGTAAAGATTGTTCTGTTTTCTTACCACGTGAATTGCGAATGATCCATTAGAATGCCGACTTACTATTTGATTTTTATAAGTCATCGTTTGCTTTTGCTAATCAAATCAAAACACAAACAACTTTTACTAGTAATAAATTCTAATCAAAATAGAAATCATCTAAATGGCTTTTTTCCATTTGCATTCACGTTTGTATACATGATCAACAAATTACAAGTAGCATATCCACTAAGTTCACCGTCTTAAAAATACACTAATATAATCATATATAGGACCACAAATATGCTCTCTTGGTGGCAAGTTACTAACGGAATATCCCAAAATGAGTAAATGTTAATGCTAACCGACTAATTTATAACAAAGGAACACGATGATCCAACAAGAAAAAGAAAGTAATTTATAACCAATGGTCCAAAAACTGTGGAACAGAATATGAATGAAGATTATCAAATGGGAAAAGAACATCGACTGAAGTTCAATTGGCATATATTAAAACATATCGGAATTGTTTTGTTTTTCTTTTTCCGAAAATATAATATATAGGAATAGATATATTGATTTAAGGATTGTAGAGGAAAGCATATAAATGACTTTTTATAATTTAGTGGAATACAAAATTAGAGCGACCAATTACAAATCAACAGAGCCTCATCATGAAAAAGTACAGCCACACCCCTACCCATACATTCAATACGGCGCTAAAGCATCTTAAAGCATGCATGCTTTTCAACAAAACAATTTAAAAACTGTATTCTATATGCTCTTTGTCAATAAAATTTCATCCATCAGATTCGTCGTTCACAAATGATTTAATCTATATACGTAAATAACATGTAATTCTATTTTAACGTAGTAAATCAATTAAACAAGACACCTTTAGAAAAGTTTTATATAGGTTTTTCTTTTGGTTTATAATTATTTATTTTCTTTTCTTAGCTAATCGTTTTATTTTGACTTAGCCTTAATTAATATCTACGTTTTCTTTTCTAATCTCCAAACTCAGGGTGAGATGAGATTCTGCTGGAATGCGAATATGTAATGATGACACCTGGTGCAGTTGCAGCATTGGTGCGTACAATCAAGTTAGGTTTTCTTTGTCCCTCTCTGTCAGGACCTCATCAGCTAATAATGCCGAATATGGAAGTGCGCGTACTTCCTTGGCAACTTTCCTTTTTGGGCAAAACACACATAATAGCACCATAACCTATAAATTATCTTTGGTTTTGGTTGTGCTTTTTTATTATGCATTGTTCATATTTATTTATCACACTTTTTCACCTAGCGACTAGACTTGCGATCATCAGTGCACTTCAAAATCGTTGGCCAAATGACCAAATCTATGATAAGATTTAACGATAAGGGAATCGACTTTTGAGGGACATACCATTTTGACTTCTAATTTGGATCCATTATGGATTCGTTGTTGCTTCAAGTTGAAGCCTCGACAAAAGGGATAAAAAGAAGCAATAGTAAAAGAGAGTACAAAAAAAGCAATGCATTTCGACACCTATTGTTATATAGATTAAACTATGGAAACATATATTGCAATGAATTCATCAATTTAATCTTTGTATTGAATCATATAGATGATAGATATACTGACTCCGTTGGTGTTAGAGATCTAGAAGGCATGTTCGTAAGACTAATGACGGTACTAATTAATGCTTTGATGTATTGATGTATGTTAGCATTTGTTTTGGGGGGGGGGTGTTAGTACAAGAGTGTGACCACACAAACTTTATTTTTAATATTAAGAGATACTCCTTTCCCACTTTCGGCGCGAGGACAGCCCCTGAAGGAACACGTGTCAAAAGGAATTTGCCGGCCAAACCCACATCGGCAAGTGGACATCCTCACATCAGAACCACGCTGCTCATCGATCACATCACTTTATCCCTTCTTCTAGATTTGAAACAGATTCCCTTTAGATTTTTTGATTCTCGGTTTATGACTTTATCCGTTCCCGGTTGAGTAGTCGACCGGAAATGTCAAAGAAGCCTATGGGCTTGGGCCTAAGTTCCTGAGGTGAAAGCCCAAGCATAAGACAGAGGTTACCAAAGAGAGGTCCCGTTCGCTGCATATTCATCTGTCGCCATCCAGATGTTTTGGTAAGTTAATATTGACTCGGTCATGGACCTTCTATTATGATTAAAAATGTAACTTTTATTTGATAAAACTATGAAATTAGTGATTGATACTAGCTTATCTCAGCTCACTCTCTGAAACTTCTAAACTTCTAAATTAATTTAATTTTCATTCGGCAAAATGATAGCTCCTGCCTCATGGAGAAAATATAGCCACTGATTAAAGTTGTATTTGGTCTTGTTTATTTGTTGGCAGTCACGTTCCCACGAATATGTGAACCACGCCAATTAAATTTTGTATTTCTCAACACTATTATTACTCACAAGTTGCAATTGCTATTGTCTATTGACCGTTCTTCACATCACTGGTCAAAGGTCAACAGTCAATTAAAAAATCTTCATATTTCCATTTTTCTTAATCTCGTCTGATACTTTTTATAAACTTAAACATAACAGTCTTATACTCTTATCTTATGGGTGGGATGAAAAACGCAATTTTCTTAAAAAGAAAAATCAAATACTGAAGATAATTTGTAAGTTTTCAATATCAGTATAATTTTTCTTGCCTTAAAACAAGTCAGAAAAAAAATATATATAAAAAAAATAGGGAGATTTGTGAATATACCCCAAAAGAGAGAACTATTGTCCCCTTACACTTTTTTTGAAATTTATCAAATCTGGACTCTAATACCCTTACATATGCTAGAAATATGATATAAATATATTTAAAAGTTTTAAAAAATTAAATAAATTAAGTAAAATGATTCTAAGGTTTAGAGAATATTTTCACAATTTGTTTTTGAAATTTGAACCTCAGAAAAATAAATAAAATTTGCATCTACCAAATTCATTATTCAAAGTAGAATTTGTCTTCTACTAGAGACTCTCACATCTATCCCTCGTAGAACATAAAATCTACCAACTGTTCAGCCATCTACCATCGTAGAATTTGCTTTCTACTAAATACTCTATACTCTACGAGTTGGTAGAGTTGTAGAACATTTGTTCTACGTTGTATACGGTTTTCTACCGTTGGTAGAACCTATATTCTAACCTACACATTGTTTTCTACCATCTCTAGAATCTATATTCTATCATAAACAATTTCTTCCACTATTTGGAGAATTCGTGTTCTACACAAAATACTATCTTCTACTATTTGTAGACTTTGTGTTCTCCTGAAAACAATGTCTTCTACTGTTTGTAGAAACTATAATCTACATTAAACACATTTTTCTACGAAATGATAGAATTCAACTTCTACGAGAATCTAAAAAATATAGTAAAAATGGTAACTAAATATTAGAAAATATCTTCAAAAACTATATTTCCTTAATCTACTTTGCCAGAAGAAAAAAAAGAATTATCATCACGTTCTTCTTCTTCTTTTTTGCTTTTTCTTATCATTTATATAATTTTCTTTTAGATTATTTGTTTTAATCTATTTTTCTCAGGTTATTCTGTTGCATATCTATATAACATATGGGAGACTGAGTGCAATCAAATGGTGGAATTTCGTTGTTGGTGAGGCAAAAGGAACTAGATTACTTGCTTTGAAATATATTTTTCTTTTCTTAAATAATTAATTATTTATTTGTTTATTACACTAATCATTTAATTTCATTTATTAATTATTTATTTATTTGAAAAAATCATGAAAACGTAATTTGAGGGTTAAAATTGGATTTAAAATTTAATTAAGGGTAAGTGGACAAGATTTGGCAAAAAAAGAGTAGATGGACAACTCTTCTCTTTTTCTGGAGTATTTTGCCAAATTTCCAAAAAAAATATGAAATAACGTCCGAGTGTGAAATTGAGACCAGCTCAAAAGACACGCCATTATTCTCCTCCCTTTTGTCTCTGCAATTATTCTCTTTGAGCTGTAACCAGAGAACAAAAGATTCTCTCGAACTTCGCCGGTTTTCCATGGAAGATTACGCCCGTCAACGACCGTACGGAGGGATGCAGATCCAGCCTTACCAAGGTGGTCCTGGAGCCGGCGACTTCAGGAGCTATAGCGCATCGTACGCGACGACGGAGAACGATCTGAAAAAGGAGAAGTCGATAGCGAGGTCGAAATCGTGGGGGATAACCGACCCGGAGCTCCAGAGGAAGAAACGGGTCGCGAGTTACAAGATGTATAGCGTTGAAGGCAAAGTCAAAGGCTCTTTTAGAAAAAGCTTCAGATGGCTCAAGCAGAGATACACACAGGTCGTCTATGGTTGGTGGTGAAATATTCCTCTCCGTTTTTCTTCTTCTTCTTGAGCTTTGCTTTTTTCTTCTTCTATCATGATTTTGATTTTCTCAAGTAATTATGATTTTGTTTTTTGGTTTTTCTCTCTCTATTTCTCTCTTATATATCTCTTGTGTGTTGTAATCTTGAATGTAACTGTGATGGCATCGCCATAAATTATATATGATCATAGTTTACATATTTTCCTCAGTGTTCAGTTTTTTTTTTGCCAATTGATTCATCAAGATGAAACTACTTGTAGAACTTGAAAGTAGATTGCGAAAAGTCTATTGTTGCCCCAAGTTCATGACATGTGATTCATTCTTGTTTTATCATTTGTATATAATCTTGTTTACCGTAAGCTCATCAATCTTTCAGACATTAGTTTTTTAGTTATGTTCCATGATCATCCATTTGCGTAACTCTCTACCAAAAAGCTCTGCTTTTATTCAACAGTAACAATCAATTTGGGCGTGTTTGAATGGTAGAAAAATAAAAATACCTTTTAAAAGGTTGTGCATTATTTCCACTTCAATACAAGTTTGTCAACAAAATGCATTATCTCGGATTTCAATCTCGAAGTTATCATAAAGACGTTACTAATGCAATTCACCAGCCAATATAAGAAAGTAATGTTTGGACATGACAACAAAGTTGTACTTTTAGAAACGTGAAAATAATAATCTGGTCCTGGACATGTATTAAACGCAATTAACTTAAAATTAATTATTCAGAAAAGAAGTCAATGAAAAGTTGATCACATGATAAGATTAATTTTGTTACCATACTATTATTACAGAAGGAATATAATTAAAATTGCTAAAAAGAGGAAAATTACTATTTCCAGTTATTTTCCACGGCCTGTCAACAAATAGAAAATCGGAGAGGGGCAATGTAATAACGTAAAAGAAAAGCATTCCATTAATTTTCGGATTCGCTTTCGTTTCTCGTCGGCGTTTTTTAGAGATGTGGGAATCCATTTGCCTGACGCTCGCGGCCACCGCCGGTAACAATATCGGCAAGGTTCTGCAGAAGAAGGGCACTATTATCCTCCCTCCTCTCTCCCTCAAGCTTAAGGTCTCTCTCTCTCCCTATTATGCTTTCTATTTCGATTGCATGCTGTTTCCGAGTTTCAATTCCCGTTTGATTGCTCGGATCTCTTGCGCTTAGAGGTCAAATTCGATTTTGTATCAGAATGAATAATTATTGTATTCGAGTATTAGGGAATTGGATCGGAGTCAAACTTTCGTTGCTTCAATTATTCTGACCCTGGCTTGCTTAGTTCTATAGCAATTTGATCCGAATTGTGATTCAAAACGTTGGGGATGCTCAACGCTTCGTGGGTTTTCCATTTCAATCATGGCATTGAGAAGCTCACATTTCAATCATGGCATATAGCTGGTGGTCAATTTTCTTTGGGAAGCTCACATTTTTTATCACAATTTATGGATTTCAGGTGATAAGGGCATATGCTGAAAACAAACCTTGGGCTTTAGGTTTTCTTATGGACATT